TATTGATCATGTCTGAACATCCAAATGCAAAACCCAATAAAAGTAAGTAATTATGCCTGAAAATATTCTTAGCAACTAGGAAATACATAACAAAGGTATAAATAAATACATAAATTTAAATACAACTATTTATTTCTCACACCAGATGGCACCAATCTGCCTTCTATGCATTAGATTTTAAATCTAATGCTCTACTGCTCTGTTTCTAACTTAAAGGGGTCATATGACGCCCATTTTCCACAAGTTGATATGATTCTTTAGGGTCTTAATGAAAAGTATTCCCACAACTGCTTTTAAATGTCTGGACATTCATGAAATGAAAATGATGTTGCCTTGAGTTTTTGAACAAGCACAGAGAATCATATAGACATATAAACACGAGGATTGAGACGAGACCCCCGCCCCGCATCCAGATGATGTAATAGCAAACCACTGATGACAAATACTTCAAACAATATTACTTGAGATAATCCAACATCACACGCTAAATCTAAAATCAATCTCCTGAGTACACTTAACAGATGAGCATTAACTTGGAAAGTATGCTGGCAACAAAAACGTTGTTTGTATAATGAGGGATGGAATGAAATGTCAAAATAAGAGTCATGGGGCCTGTCTTTTTTATGAAAACATGGCTTCCCTATCAGATTTTCTGCCTAGTCTTCTACCCCACACCACAGTGTTAACACATTCGCATGTTTAAGATGTTGACAATAATGTTAAAAAATGTAAGGTTAGTGAGTGTTTATATAGTAGATATTAGATGAGTAATACAGGGCCCTATATTTTCCGCGATGCGGAAAACGTGGACGAAATCACGAAATCCAGTCATAAAAATTTAATTTACCATATAATGCGTAATGATGCGGAATTAGCCAGATTTTGGATTAATAAATCTAAATCAGATCACAATATGGACTAGTGTCTGTGAATAAAAAGCCGCATAATAACAATAATAATAATGACTTAAAGGGGTCATAGGATGCTACATGCACTTTTACAAGTAGTTTGAACTGAAATGTGTGTTGGCAGTGTGTGTACACAGCCACCCTATAATGATAAAAATCCACCCAGTGTTTTTTTTAAAAAATCTGGTTAGATGTTTTCCCCTTTCTCAAATCGAGCCGATCTCAGATGCCTGTCTGTGTGACGTCACACAGACAGGCATCTGAGATCGGCTCGATTTGAGAAAGGGGAAAACATCTAACCAGATTTAAAAAAAACACTGGGTGGATTTTTATCATTATAGGGTGGTTGTGTACACACACTGCCAACACACATTTCAGTTCAAACAACTTGTAAAAGTGCATGTAGCATCCTATGACCCCTTTAAACAATGTATTAGGCTATTAGAAAAATAATTCAATTATTTGTATTATTTTAGATTTAAATAAATATGGTAAATAATTGAGAGGTGAATATACCACGAAATCCCCTCCAAATCCTAAATATTAACATATGTTACTGAGAAAAAATACATTCATTTGCTTTAAAAAAGGTTACGTTTATTTTCTTCAGTCTTTTTTGACCTCGGAGGACAGCAGATACGATCCCTATTCCCTAACTTAAGTGAGGAAAGCTAGAGGGATAAATCTAGACTTAAACGCATCATTTTACTGCGTCAGGTGGGCAGGCTATTGAAGATGCCCACACTTAAGAAGTTAATGACCAATTTGGGTTTCACAGCCTGCATGAGGGACATATGATACCACTATTGCATCAGTCTGACAGAAACATGAGCTATCGAAATTAAAAACTGATCCACTGATAAGCAGAGAGCAGCCTAGAAGCAAAAGTCACTTCCCTTCAAGCACAGGAAGTATCAAACAACAGCTGCAAAGAGGCCAAGGGCCAGAATCAAGCACCTGGCACAATCATCATTCTCCCTCCCTCTCCTTTTCTTTCTCTTCAAGCCAAGTGCTGCTCTCTTCCCCATCAAGTGCTGCAGCGGCTAAAATAAAACCAAGTGCTGAATGACTAAAAATATATTCACTCTAACAACAACTGGCCAATGATACTGACACGCCGGGGCAGCCCAGGCCAGCTGGTGACTGAGGCATAACTGAGGCATAACTAATCAAGGGGAATCAATAAGGGGACATACAGGGGAGAAACATAAACAAAACACAGGACAAAAAGTTAACAGTGCTTCATAGTTCAAGCACCAAAATAGTCTATGCACAATCAGCTTGTAACACTCCAAAGAGAAAGGAAAACTTGAAATCGCATCATATGACCCCTTTACAAACAGTACATTTCTTAAATGAATAACAATATGGGGTTTATGAAATTGTTCTCTACACATGTCTGCAATTAAATAATATCATTTATAGTCTTTGGAGGTCAAAACTCTGATGCAGTTTTTCATCGTGTAATGAGGACAACAATATTATGTGATGTTTTATTTCTTTCTTCAGCCTCTCAGAAGTTAGGGCACTGCGTGTGTTGGTTAGGGTCACTTGCTAGTAATAAAAAGCATTATTTATTACTAACCAAAACATGCACTGCCCTGACTTCTCTGAGATATTAGACATACATAAAGTGTCACCATTAAGCAATCTTACACCATCAAGAATCTAGATATTGTAGATGATTTAACCAGGAACACAGCTTGAGCATCAATAGAGTACATTGACCTATTTGACCCAGAAAAAATAAAGTAGAATATGGTGTGACTGATCATAAATCTTCACAGCATCATTTGAAGCTGAAAACACCCGTAGAGGTGAGTATGCATGCATGCATACACTCCAAAACACATGCATTTATTATCCACTCATATATCCAAAGCTGAATTGAGGTTAGCGTCAAAATCTGAATCATACATTTGTATAGTTAAATGTTATCATTCGGTCACTTAATTCAGTAATATCATCTGATGCAAGTTAGGTCTTTTATTAAAAATCCCTATAATATACTCACCCGAACTGCTGCAGTCCGCACAAACTTCGCTATTTCGCAGCCGTTTCGACATCCTTGTCTCCGGGAACGTTGCTATTACCATGTATTATCGACCCAGAAGCGTCCACGGATAAATTTAAAGCATGCACCGCTTTGACATGATGATTGGATCCGTTTAAAAGGGTTTTATCACTGAAAGCGGGTCTCATTCGAGGACGAGTTCAATGTGTGCATGCATCTGCACTGCCTGCTCTATGTGAAATAATGCAACGTTATGTCTGGCTTTAGCTTGTCTAGCTTGAAATTAGGACAGACGAGTCAGACAGCGGAGCCTCTGTCATGATGCATTAAAAACTACACTACGGAAATGCTCGCCAGCAACCCATCAGATCGCAGAAGAGTGCCATCTGCCCTCGCAGAACACACATTTGAGTTTACAGCGACGATTCATCAGCTTTCTAGCGCTGCCTGACACACAGTGGACAGACGCGTCCCTGCAACGCATCATTACAATACATCATATTAAATATGCAATTCTTTAAATATAAATCCTATTTATGTTTGGAACATAATTATAACCCCAGGAATTAACCAGAGAGTCGGAAATTAAATTGAAGGCATGTAGGACGCGATCTTCATAACATGCTGCATTCGAATCCGCGCATGCGCAGAAGTGATTCATCACCAGCCGCTCCTGATGAGCTGAAGATCATTTAAAACACAGAGGCGTCGCGCCTACCCACAGGCGAGCGAATTATTTATTACGATCATTTAGTGATGTTTCGTTTGAAAACATTTTCGTTTCATGTCTAGATTAAAAAAAAATACTTCTCTTTACGAACACGCAAAATTCACTCTTTGATTTTACACAATTTAGCCATATTTTATGGCACGACCGCCCCTCCTTTTTATGAAATGGTTTAGTCTGGCGTTGGGCTCGCCCAATTCAACAAGAAAAAATAATTATTTTTCCATTCGTTTTTTTTTATTTGTCATATATAGCTAATTAGGCTCTTGTCGATCATTTTATATTGAGAACATTATTTATAAATACAACTAAGTGTGTACTGGTTTATATGTCCTTGTGAGGACTTAAACCTGACTACACACAGACTCATGGGGACTCGTGTCACGGTGGGGACCTAAATTGTGGTCCCCACGGGTACAAAAGCTTATAAATCATACAGAATGAAGTTTTTTGAAAATCTGAAAATGCAGAAAGTTTCCTGTGAGGGGTAGGTTTAGGGGTAGGGTTGGTGTAGGGCAATAGAATATACAGTCTGTACAGTAGAAAAACCATTACGCCTATGGAGAGTCCCCACAAGGATAGGTGCTAGACATCAGTGTGTGTGTGTGTGTGTGTGTGTGTGTGAAATCCGTAAATGCTGATGTATGTAGACCGGTGGTGGTGCATCTGGTGTTAGAATCATTTGACTGCTGTGAGATGTCTGCCTCCAGTGGATTTCATGACATGCTTGACATGTATTTAATAATCTAAAGAAATTGGAATTGGTATATTATTTGATCTTATTGCAAAATGCTTCATCAGCTTGCCATCCACTTGTTAACCACAGCACTGCTGTATGTCATTGCACTGGAGAGCCGGTGAGCTCATCCTAACATCAATAAAGCTTCATTTTACTGCACCAGGCTGTAGATCACAGCTTTGTTGGGGGAAAACGTGTAAAAATAAGATAGTAAAAACTAAGAGTAAGCTAAAGAAATAAATGTTAATTCAAATAAATAGATAAATAATGCATCTAGCAGCAAGCAGAAAAAACGTAATAGAAACTAGATAATATTTCACACACATTTGTAACATTTATTTAACAATTGCATCAATTTTCACAGTAAATTGTGTCTTTATTCATGTAGATATATTGCTACCTTTTAAGTTTTAGTTTTGAGTCTTTCACCCTAGGATGATCTTATTTGAATGTCCATGCCATCTGAATGATTGAATACTGCTGCTGTATATGACAGGCATCATGACCAATTCACAGGAAGAGCATCCAGTGTTTTGATTAATGACGGTTGCATTGCATATTTCCATTTTCATTTTTTTAAGAGCAATGCTCATGATTTTTGGCACTTCTCAATTTCCTCACTAACATATGAGCTGTATGTGTTTACACTCCTTTCAGAGTAACATTGAAGAGGTGGATCCCAGGAGCCGGACGCCTCTGCACCTGGCCGTCTCACTAGGACACTTGGAGTCAGTGAGAGTGCTGCTCAGACACGGCGCAGATGTTTCCAAAGAGAACGACAAAAATTGGACAGGTGAGAATAGAGCTTATGAATTGCACATTAGTCAACTTAGTAGGTCTTATAAGACATCAGATAGTTTTGCAGTATCGCCATGGCAATCTTTGAAGTAAATTGCATTGACCCCCACAAGAATGCCATTAGAACTATAATGACCACTTGCACATCAGTAGTTTTCCCAGCCATCTCTGGTCCGGCTTTTCCGGCATCCAGTGTTATGTATGCTCTAATGATCACCTCCTCCAAGACACGTACTGGTCATTTAGCAGATGTCTTTTTATGTGATTTACAGTGCACTATAGAATAGAAGCTAGTATGTTTACCTTTCCATTACAAGCCCATATTCTTAGATAAAGATAAATACCTAAAGGTCCAGTTAAAGCAGATGTATATGTGTGTTGTTGTCTGCACAGTGCTGCAGGAAGCAGTCAGCACAGGAGATCCAGAGATGGTGCAGCTGGTGCTCCAGCGACGAGATTACCGTAAAGCCTCCACTGCGCTGGGTGGCGTTCCAGAGTTACTGTGCAAGATCCGAGAGGTGCGTCTGTCATTTGATTTTGTGTATTATTTTGGGGAATTTTGAGCTATTATTGTATAGTATATAAAAGTTTGGGGATGGTAAGATTTTTAAAAGTAGTCACTTATGTTCACCCAGGCTGCATTTATTTGATTGAAAGTACAGTAAAGGCTGTAATATTGTGAAATATTATTACAATTTGAAATAGTTGTTTTCTATTGTAATTTGTTTTAAAATATCATTTATTTATGTGATGTCTTCAGTGTCACATGATCCTTCAGAAATCATTCTAATATGCTGATTTGCCGCTTGAGAAACATTTCTTATGATCAAGTTTGGATGCAGTTGTGCTGCTTAATATTTTTGTGGAAACCATGATACGTATTTGTTTAGGATTCTTTAATGAATAGAAAGTTTATTTGAAATAGAAGTCTTTTGTAATATTATAAACTAGGCTTGCCACGATAGACGGTGCTGACGGTGATACCGGGGTTAAGCTGACACACCGGTTATGTCACTTGCCCACCGCGGCACCGACCCCCACCGTCGTTTAGATTTTGTATAGTAATAAAAATCATTTAGTTCAGTGAAAGAACAGACACTACAATTAAAAACTGAACGCGGCTGCTCAATGCAGTTGCATCACAGATCAGATTTCATTTCTCCAGTGAGGAGAGTGAGTCCAGCTGACTGACAAGAAGAGTGAGGTGAGATGGACAAGACGATCGCGGATGATTTAGTTTCGAAACGAGATGCAAAAGCGCCTGTTTGGCAGTTTTTTGGATTTTGAAAAGCCTGTTGACTTTTGCCGTTTATTTAAGGTGATTTTGGAAGTTTTTTAAACATTAGTTTCTTATTTAATTGGTTCCACATTGTTTGCTGATTTTTACTTAATTTAAACTTTGTGTCATTTATTTATTTGATTTGACATCAAGGTGTATGCCGTGCCTCCAAGCTTTCTTACTCGTTTTGCTAATAAACGCTCTACGTTTCTTTATTTATTTGGTTATGTATTATACATGTTTACTTGGCCTATTTCCAGTTTTGTATACCTATTTAAACTTTATGTAAGTTATTTGTTATTTTATATTAGGCATAGCCTGCCCTATAGCATAGTGTATTTTTATTTGTTTTGTTAATAAAAGTTCTATGATTTATATATAGGCTAAAGTGAGTTTGACATTGTTTTGTTGTTGCATTCAAGCAATTGACGCTGAACTGCCGCTAATTCGAAAGTGAAAGTAAAATGAGCACGGCGCTTTTAAGCTATTTAAAAGCGAAGGAAAGCGAGGAAAAGAGGGAACGCCCCCGCCCCCACGGTGATACCGGTATTACCGGTGTTGTCACACGTCGATTAACCGGTGGGAAAATTTCCTCACCGTCACAACCCTAATATAAACATCTTTACTGATACTTTTGATCAGTTTAATGCATCTATGCTGAATGAAAGTATTTATTTCTTAAAAACAATTATCACCAAATTTTGTGTGTGATTTAATTTTTTTATTTTTTGCTGTGATTTAGCTACACGGCCATTAAAAAAAACCATCCTTTGTGTTAACATCAAAGGCATTTTGATATTCATAGATGTTTTATTCCTCAAGCAATTAGCATGACTTCTTTCATTCGTCACTAGCGTTCTCTGTTCTAAGGTCAAATATGTTACCTTTTCGTTTTACTTTCACTATTCACCATTTACAGCATATGCTTTCTTACTACCTAACAATTTGCCCTTTGATGCTATTTGCAACACATTTTATTGGGAAGCCAATGTGGCGCCTGACGCTTGTGTTGAGAGGTGCGTTGAAGCCCTGATGTGAGTCATGTGAAAGCGCCTAAAGTGTAATGAACCTCTTTTTGTCCTAGTCTCCAGATTTCTACATGGAGATGAAGTGGGAGTTCACTAGCTGGAGTAAGTGCTCTTTTTTCCCCCTCACCTTTTCTGTACATAAATTCTTATGGTTTTATTAGGCTGTAGAATGACCCTCATCTGCTGCTTTTGCTCTGGATCCAGTTCCTCTCGTATCGCGTGTGTGTCCCAGCGACGTGTGCAGAATCTGGAAGAGTGGGGCCTGTCTGAGGGTGGATACCACCCTGCTGGGCTTTGAAAACATGACCTGGATCAGAGGAAGGAGAAGTTATATCTTTAGAGGAGAAGGTTATTTTCTCTGCCTCTTTGCATGTGTTTTTAAAAAAAGACTAGTCGACCGTTCTGACCATCCGTGGTTTACGAATTAATTTGGTTTGTGGGGTTCTAGCAAACGTGCTGTGAATTCTTCTGAAGCTTACAGGAAATTCACATTTGTATGTTTACTAATGCACTTCATTTGAGGATAAGTGGAATGCCTGATGTTTATTTGTGGTTGATCAGTATCATGTGGACTTCTCACAGACAACTGCACTGAGCTGATGGACGTTAATCACGAGGACGAGGTGGTGGACACTGAGCGCTTCGATCTCTCCCGCGAGATGGAGGACGTCACACTGGACTCCATGCAGCCCGCCGAACAGGAAGTAGCCAAGAGGCTGACAACACCCATTGTCAACACGTATCTGGACACAAAGAACATTGCATTTGAGAGGTATGGCCCCTTATATAAGATTTACATCTAATAAATATACTACCATTCAAAAGTTTATGGCTTTAATGGTTTTTGAAAGAAGTCTCTTATTGTCACCAAGTGTGTTATTAGATGAAAAACACAGTAAAGTAGTAATATTGTGAAATATTATTACAATTCAAAATAGCTGTTTTCTATTTAAATATATTTTAAAATGTAATTTTCACCAGCTATTACTCCATATCTTCAGTTTTGCACGAAATCATTCTAGTATGCTGATGTGGTGCTCAAGAAGCGTTCTTTTACCAATGTTAAAAAGTCGTGCTGCTTAATATTTTGTGGAAACTTGTTTTTTTGTTTTGTTTTCAGGATTCTTTGATAAATAGATTGTTTAAAAGAACAGCATTTATTTGTCAATTTTGTCAAATTCACACATCCTTGCTGAGAAAAAAAAAGTATTAATTTCTTTAAAAGAAGGCTTTCTGACCACAAATTTTTGAATTGTAGCATATATGAAAAATGTCACACATGGACATTGTTGCACACTGACTATTTTTTTTTATTCACAGAAAACACATAAACACAATTGCTGCTGAAGAATAAATCAAACATGCTATTCAAAAATGCATTTTGTGCTCAGGTCTAAATCCGGTATCTGGGGTTGGAGGTCAGACAGAGCAGAAGTAGTAAATGGATTTGAAGCCAAGGTAAGCAGATGACCAGCTGTTTGAGAGCTGCAGTACCATTAGGAATCACTGGAAGGACAAAAAACTGCTCTTTTAGAGTTACAGAAACTCCAAAGTGAAAAGTGTGACTCTCTTTTTAAAGCAGTGAGATTCAGAATAAAGCAGTCTTTGTCCTGTGAGTGATAATACTGCTTTTGGCAGGTTTTTTCAGTGAACAATGTGAACGTTGTGATTCGCACCAGGACGGAGCACCTCACAGACGAGGAGAAGGCCAGGATAAAAAGTAATTAACCCACTTTAAGATTTACACTATAAATATCATACCCCTTTTCTACCAAAATGGTGCTGGTGCTCAACCGGGAACTGCAAATCTCTCTCAGAACATCCCTGTGTTCCCACTTGAGTAATGAACTGTGATCTAATTAACGTTATTACAGTACATAACTAGTATAGCACTAACTCTAGTATAGTTTTGTTTTGCATCAGCCTTGCCAGATTAAGATTTGAAACTGAATCTGGCAAATTGATCGGTTTCAGGTTGTAGAGATCAGTTTGAAGCCAATTTTCTTGCCCATAATTACTTTTCTGGCAATAAAACACATGAAATAGTTCCAGATTGGGCTCCAGCACTCTGGTAAAGGGTCTATAGTCTGTTCCCTGTTGTGTTAACTGGTTAATATCAATTACTGATGCTTTTGATCTCAACAGGTGAAAGGAATGTTCTGGAGTCTTTACTCGGGACAGTAGAGCAACAGATCGGTGCTCAAGGGGTAAATAAACACATTGAATTTGTTTTCTTCTGAAGTATTTGGGCACTGCAGTCACACTTACAAATTTATGAAAGTCAATGAATTTGATACAAAATTTCAAACCAAGTGAAATATCCAAACAAATGGATCATGGTCTTTTGTCATTAATACAATTTTGTAGCCATATTAGAAATGACTTGTAACAAAAACAAGTGTCAAGTTGATTTTTAGTGGATGTATAGTCCATCATATAGGTCATCACATTAATGATGATCATGTTCCACCAATGTTTGAAAACCATAAATTGTCCAAATACTACAAGTACTATTTTTGAACAGTATTTCTATAGATTTTTTTTTTTAACCTAACAAATTTACTTTTGTGGAATATTTCGCTTGAGTAGTACTACTGTTCTTTTAAAATGTGTGTGTGTGTATGTATATATATATATATATATATATAATTATTATTATTTTTTTTAATGTGTATAATAGTTTGATATTTTGTTAGTGAAAAGTGTGACTCTCTTTTTAAAGCAGTGAGATTCAGAATAAAGCAGTCTTTGTCCTGTGAGTGATAATACTGCTTTTGGCAGGTTTTTTCAGTGAACAATGTGAACGTTGTGATTCGCACCAGGACGGAGCACCTCACAGACGAGGAGAAGGCCAGGATAAAAAGTAATTAACCCACTTTAAGATTTACACTATAAATATCATACCCCTTTTCTACCAAAATGGTGCTGGTGCTCAACCGGGAACTGCAAATCTCTCTCAGAACATCCCTGTGTTCCCACTTGAGTAATGAACTGTGATCTAATTAACGTTATTACAGTACATAACTAGTATAGCACTAACTCTAGTATAGTTTTGTTTTGCATCAGCCTTGCCAGATTAAGATTTGAAACTGAATCTGGCAAATTGATCGGTTTCAGGTTGTAGAGATCAGTTTGAAGCCAATTTTCTTGCCCATAATTACTTTTCTGGCAATAAAACACATGAAATAGTTCCAGATTGGGCTCCAGCACTCTGGTAAAGGGTCTATAGTCTGTTCCCTGTTGTGTTAACTGGTTAATATCAATTACTGATGCTTTTGATCTCAACAGGTGAAAGGAATGTTCTGGAGTCTTTACTCGGGACAGTAGAGCAACAGATCGGTGCTCAAGGGGTAAATAAACACATTGAATTTGTTTTCTTCTGAAGTATTTGGGCACTGCAGTCACACTTACAAATTTATGAAAGTCAATGAATTTGATACAAAATTTCAAACCAAGTGAAATATCCAAACAAATGGATCATGGTCTTTTGTCATTAATACAATTTTGTAGCCATATTAGAAATGACTTGTAACAAAAACAAGTGTCAAGTTGATTTTTAGTGGATGTATAGTCCATCATATAGGTCATCACATTAATGATGATCATGTTCCACCAATGTTTGAAAACCATAAATTGTCCAAATACTACAAGTACTATTTTTGAACAGTATTTCTATAGATTTTTTTTTTTAACCTAACAAATTTACTTTTGTGGAATATTTTGCTTGAGTAGTACTACTGTTCTTTTAAAATGTGTGTGTGTGTATGTATATATATATATATATATATATATAATTATTATTATTTTTTTTAATGTGTATAATAGTTTGATATTTTGTTATCTAGATCAAATACATTTTAGGTGTACATTACAAAAAAAAAAAAGCATCGGGACACTTGTGTTTTACAAAGCTGGAAGGATTCATTTGTATGTACGATTACAGGACATGACTATGGAGTATGCCACTGCCACAAACCCCACTGAAAGTCAATGAATTTGATACAAAATTTCAAACCAAGTGAAATATCCAAACAAATGGATCATGGTCTTTTGTCATTAATACAATTTTGTAGCCATATTAGAAATGACTTGTAACAAAAACAAGTGTCAAGTTGATTTTTAGTGGATGTATAGTCCATCATATAGGTCATCACATTAATGATGATCATGTTCCACCAATGTTTGAAAACCATAAATTGTCCAAATACTACAAGTACTATTTTTGAACAGTATTTCTATAGATTTTTTTTTTTAACCTAACAAATTTACTTTTGTGGAATATTTCGCTTGAGTAGTACTACTGTTCTTTTAAAATGTGTGTGTGTGTATGTATATATATATATATATATATATATAATTATTATTATTTTTTTTAATGTGTATAATAGTTTGATATTTTGTTATCTAGATCAAATACATTTTAGGTGTACATTACAAAAAAAAAAAAAGCATCGGGACACTTGTGTTTTACAAAGCTGGAAGGATTCATTTGTATGTATGATTACAGGACATGACTATGGAGTATGCCACTGCCACAAACCCCACAGCTATTACTCCAGAGGAGTACTTTAACCCCAACTTTGACCTTCAGGGCAGAGACATCGGTCGGCCCATTGAGCTCACCATCAGAACACAGAAGTAAGGCTGACCATTCACTCAACCGCACTACAATTATTTTTAAATAAGTAAATAATATATTACACGAATGTAATTAAAGAAATGGTTCAGTTTTTGTGTTTGGACCCCCTCTCAGGTTTAAAGGCACCCTGTGGATGAGTGAAGAGCATCCTCTGTCTCTGGTAGAGCAGGTCACTCCCATCATTGACCTGATGGCTCGCACCAGCACTCACTTTGCCCGACTCAGGGACTTCATCAACCTCAGGTTTCCCCCTGGCTTCCCTGTGAAGATCGGTGAGTGAGAGGAACAAACAGCCCTACTACTCAGTTCTCAAATGAAACCCTGTCCAGCATTTGTAATTTAATGCATCAGGCTGAATATTAATTTCTCTAACCTGCAACAAAACTGCGAAAGTACACTCTTAAAATTCAACTAAATGTTTTCAAGTTGTGTATGGAAGAGAGTTTAGCATTAACTAATCTAGCTGTCCTGCTCACAAGTTTCTCAAGACTGCTTTAGTGTTTCAAGTCTGTTGTCTTTAAGGAAGACTTCATAAAACTTACATTTGGTAGAAGGGACATATTCCCTTAGTTTTTCACCTTGTCCAAAAACTCTAGTGAACCTAAGTCCAGTATAGCAAGGCAGGGAAGACTGATACTGATAGAAAACTTTTATGGATTACGCTCACTCGGGGACTTGTTTAGTAAGATTTTACCTGAAAAGATTTTAGATTTTTTTATCATGTTAATTAAAAAAAAAAATATATATATATATATATATAGAGAGAGATAATTTAATCTGCAGTTTTTTTTTTGTGTGTGTGTTGATTTGGTTTTATTTTCTTTGTTTTTTGTTTATTCCAACTCCATGAAGAAAGCCTAAGATGCTGACATGGCAATAAAAATAAACAACTAACCAATCTTGTGAATGGCTTTAATATAAGTCAGAGCATGCTGCTAACTAGATCATGGGTTTGATTCTGTTTCTGTTTCTTCAGAAATCCCTCTGTTCCATGTGTTGAATGCCCGCATCACATTTGGAAACGTCAACGAGTGCAGTACAGATGAACCTTTGGACTCCAACCAATCAGCTTCTACACCCACACCTACAGAAGAGAAGTGTGACAGCCAGGCTTCAGGTTTGGAAATGTATTGATTCCTCGTCTGTTCCAGAACAAAAACGCACAGAAGACCTGTTAACTCTCACAAACTCTGCCCTTAATTCATAGTGGGAATGAGTTATTGGTTTGTTGATCCAGCAGGGAAATGTTCTAACATGAATGTTGAGTGCAGTATGTTTCACTTCCTGCTCCTGCAGGACCTGCTCCATTCAAGGTGTGTCCATCTGTGTTCGTGGCACCTTCGCACTATCACCACCGAGGGGGCTACCGCCACTCCAACACACGCCGTTACAACCCAGCCAGTCATGATGAAGAGCTGCTCCAGTACGCCATTCACCAGAGTCTGCTCGAGTCCAGTGCACTCAATTCACAGGTCAGAGAACTTCCTGTTAGTGCATTCTGTGCATTTCTTGAAGATGTCTGTCTCTAATATGCAGTCTGGCTGGCTGTTTTGTTTTAGGACACTTGGAGTGATTCTGATGGACAGGCAACACAATCCATGATGAATCGGTTGAGCGATGGGTACCTTTCATGTTTCCATAATAATTTGTCCAGGGGCACTTTTTTTTTTTTTTAAAGAAAGTAATATTTTTGTGATACTTTTAAATAGAGTGATGGTGAGGAAATTTTCCCACCGGTTAATTTTTAGGACACTTGGAGTGATTCTGATGGACAGGCAACACAATCCATGATGAATCGGTTGAGCGATGGGTACCTTTCATGTTTCCATAATAATTTGTCCAGGGGCACTTTTTTTTTTTTTAAAGAAAGTAATATTTTTGTGATACTTTTAAATAGAGTGATGGTGAGGAAATTTTCCCACCGGTTAATCGATGTGTGACAACACGGATAATACCGGTATCACCGTGGGGGCAGGAGCGTTCCCTCTTTTCCTCGCTTTTAAATAGCTTGTAAAAGCGCCGTGCCATTTTACTTTCACTTTCAAATAGCGGCAATTCGGCGTAAAGCAATTGTTCGTTTGAATTTTCCCTCTTTTTTTTTCTCGCTTTTAAATAGCTTAAAAGCGCCGTGGGCATTTTACTTTCACTTTCGAATTGGCGGCAATTCTGCGTCAATTGCTTGAATGCAACAACAAAATACAACGTCAAACTCACTTTAGCCTATAAATAAAACATAGAACTTTTATTAACAAAACGTAAAAATACACCATGCTATACGGCAGGCTATGTCTAATATAAAATAACAAATAACTTGTATAAAGTTTAAAAAGGTATACAAAATATTAATTTGTAAACATGTAGCCTATGTTATATAAATAAACGTAAGAAAGGTAGAGCGTTTATTAGCAAAACGAGTAAGAAAGCTTGGAGGCACGGCATACACCTTTTGCATTAACGTCAGCGTTAACGTTATATCTCAGGGTTAAACTGATACTCACCAGTTGTCGGGTTCCTTTAAAACCATTTTATACGCAGCCAAGGAAAGTGAAAGAAATGAATGTTTTACACAAAGCAGTGGGACAGTACCATTTTCAGCCTTTTCGTGTGCTTTTGTCATTCGGCAACTTCTGACTGAAGCATCTCTACCGTAAAGGCAATAAATCACACCGCCGTGCCTCGTCGGAGTGAGAGGCACTCATACAGACCGGGATATTTCTGAAAAGGCCTGTCCGATGTAAGCTGATACGCATCAAGCTTTTAGTCTGCCTAATTTGTAAAATGATACAATAAAACCGTTTAGATCGCCATGAGTATGTTGTAATGCAAAGAATGAATGTGGCAGTACTGGGTCACTTTTCTGGCACCAACCAAACCTCATGCTACACTAAAGGACTAGGGGAATGTGTGACAAGAAACCCAGCTGTTTTTGTCTGTGGGAATGTGTGTGGTTGGACAGCATTGTTTGCTGAATGAGGTTCTGATGTGGTAAATGTGGAAGAACCTGCCCTGCTCTGTTTGGGAATCTTTAGGGAATCTCATGCTGTTCCTTCCTGTTGTAGCTGACAGTGCTATTTATTTTGTCAACGTGTTTTTTTTTACTTTTTCTCTGTCTTCTTCTTTTTTATTATTATTTCTTAAATGCTTTTTGTAGTGTCTCTTTTTGAAAAACATTATCCTATGGAAGTATTTTCTGGACTGTATTCAAAAGGAATTGAAAATTATAATTGTAAGTTGTATTTGCAAGTGTGTTTTCAATATGTGGACACAAATTCTGACATAATCCAATGTCCAAGATGACACCAAAAATAGTAATATTATTGTAAAAAGCATGTATTAAAGGATGTGGCACGAAGGGGATAATTTACTGGCCTCATACACTCACATCTCATACAGATGTGGTTGTGGTCTATTCATCCAAAGATACACTTTCCCATTGAGAAATCTCGTGTAATGTGACATTTCTTAATAGGCCCCTGTGTTAGATGTGAGCGCTTGTCATGGCGCCTCATCTGCACTCCCTTCTCAGCAGACCTTCGAGTGCCATGTGCTGGCAGAGGAAAGCTGTATGTCAGCAGTGGTTTGAGGCAGTGTGCCGTCTGTGGGAATAAAATCATGATTTTTAGTGAGATCACATGTGGAAGTGAAGGAAATATCCGTTTCGAAGAAGCTGACTCTGGCCTTTGACTTTATGGCCTGTCAAATGCATCAGACTTTACATTAAGGCTGATTACATATCAAATTCATATCTGTCGTTTTTAGATAGGCTACATGAATATCCACTATTTTCGCAACGCTGAAGACATTTTCTGTGAATGTGCAAGTCTTCTGATTCATTAGCCACTATAACTAGAAGAATAACAAAGTGCAGTAAACAGTAAAACCTGTGTTAGCCTATACCTGAAGCAAAATACAGAATGCTACAGCTTGTTCATCTTTGGCTTTAAAAGCTTTTAATGACTTTTTCAGGAAATAGTCATTTAGGTTGCCTGACTTAATCAGCTCAAGTGCTCGTTTCCGTGACTTCAGCTCAGCAGGTGTTTCACTTGTGGGCCAACTGCTAAAATGTGTTGAAAAATCATTGTGGAAATATATACTGTGTATATATATATATATATATAAGTATCCATTTGTCCTCTATTTATCCTGTGTGAGGGAGAGATAACCTGCTCAGCAGATGCTGGTTTTATTGCATGTGACCTGATTAGAAGGATGAGTTCTTTCGCTCCTCTAATGAGAAAAAGAAATTCACTCCGTGAGTGATGGGATTGAAGAAAGCACACTTAGGCAGACAACAGAAATACTGAAGTTTGGAGCAAATGTGATGGAAGTGTAAATATGCTAATTATTCATGATAATATTATAAAAGCACTATGGTACTACTATACCAACTATAATCATATATTACTTTTAATACACTCTCAGGGGGGAAAAAAAGATACAAAACTGTTACTTGTATCTTATTTACCCCTAAATGGTACATATTAGTAGGCTACCATATATATTAGTACTTTACATTTTGAAAGGGTGCCAGTTTTCTGAGTGCAATTACCTTTAGGCCTATAGAAGTATACACTCTAAAAAAAAAAGCTGGGTTAAATACAACCCAGTGCTGGGTAAAATAGGGACAAACCCAGCAATTAGGCTGTTTTGACCCAGCGGTTGGGTTACTACCCAGAAGGTTGGGTTAAACATTTAACTCAACCGCTGGGTCAAAACAGCCCAATTGCTGGGTTTGTCCCTATTTTACCCAGCACTGGGTTGTATTTAACCCAGCTTTTTTAAGAGTGTAGTAAACATTAAAAAAAATGATTTAGCACTGTTCCATTCAGTTATTTATTTTGAACACAAGCACATTCACACTGATTCAGACATTGCCTTTAATTTATTCTATTCAGTAGCCGTATTCAAGAGATCTGACATTCAAAAACCAGTCAAATAAACATATTACAAAAAATACATGAAAATAATATTAAATAAATAAATACGTATAAATTCAGACTGTAAACATTTTAGCAGCTTGCACACTGTAAAAAACACATCCTAATTTAGTACGCATGTGTTTGAAATAAGTGTTCAGTTTTAAACACTTATAAGGTTTGGGGAGACTTGATTACAATGAGGGTTTAATCTGGAGATCATGACTCGATTTAATTAAAGCGTTGCAGGGAAGACGCCAGTGGTTCATCAATATTAATTAGGTCATACTGACGTTGATTCACAACCTTCCAATAGCGAAGGGTTGGATCCCGACTATTAAATAGTTCGCGCTGACGTTGCGTTGTTCTCGTCCAATGGCTTGGCTCGGCTCATTAATATTCAAAATCAAGCCTTCTCCATAGTAGCGTTCAGTTCCCGGCGTCTTTCATCCTGAGGGCTTGTCACCTGCGTCGAAGAGGTTTGTAGACACACACTGCCATTCCAATCATGACCACCAGCAGGGTGGACAGAACACTTATTAGAAGAACTGCAGGAGATACAATGAACAAACAATTCAAATAAATCCACTGATGCAGTGCATTACGATCATATTTTAACTGAGAGGCCAATTTAGCATTTACAAACGACAGCACATAAAAGTGAATCAATGCTAAACTGTGCTGTCGTGTGGTCAGGTTCACCCTTTGTGGATGTAACAGGCCTGAGACAGGTTCGGTCGCGTGTGTAAATGAAATTCTTACCCAGATTTTGCCTCAGCAGGACTTCATAGGGTCTAACATGTAATCTAGACTCTCCCAGCTGAGCATTTCCAGAGTGGAAAAACGTTATGCAGCAAGCGATGAGAGAAATCAGGCGTGCTGCTGACATTGTAGCGAAACAGCGAGCAGGATGCAACCCAAATCCACACATACAGCTCGACGCTTCTGGAAGGTCCTAACGCCGTCGGGTTAAAGGGATAGTTCACCCAAAAATGAAAATTCTGTCATTAATTACTCACCCTCGTGTTGTTCCAAACCCGTAAGACCTTCGTTTATCTTCGGAACACAATTTAAGATATTTTTGATGAAATCTGAGGGCTCTCTGACCCTCCCATAGACAGCAAGGTAACTACCACGTTCAAGGTCCAGAAAAGTACCAAGATGATCGACAAAGTAGTCCGTGTGACATCAGTGGCTCAACTGTAAAGTTACGAAGCTACGAGAATACTTTTTTGTGCAAAGAAAACAAAAATAACGACTTTATTCCACATGTTCGTCTTGACTGCGTCACTTTGGACGCACGTTCACGACAGTACCATGACGCGAGCGTGTGACGGCGCCGGCGCTGACCCAGATCCGGCGTAAGGATCTGGGTCAGCGCCGCCACAAGCTCGTGTCCACAAGTGACGCAGTAGAGACGAAAATGTGGAATAAAGTCATTCTTTTTGTTTTCTTTGCGCAAAAAGTATTCTCGTAGCTTCGTAACTTTACAGTTGAACCACTGATGTCACACGGACTACTTTGTCGATCGTCTTGGTACTTTTCTGGACCTTGAACGTGGTAGTTACCTTGCTGTCTATGGGAGGGTCAGAGAGCCCTCAGATTTCATCAAAAATATCTTAAATTGTATTCCGAATATGAACGAAGGTCTTATGGGTTTGGAACTCACCCTCGTGTGAGTAATTAATGACAGAATTTTCATTTTTGGGTGAACTAACCCTTTAAACCAACATGATCGTCCCAGTGCATGCCCTTCGCAGTTTCCAATCCGATTACGCAAGTTGTGCCTAATTGATGTTATTGGGACAGACTTTTTAAATATTTACCATAAATTCAATGATGATGCTCTAGAGATTATTTTTTTTTGCACGCAATGCAGGTCTCTCCCGGCCTAAGCAAAGCGGGATTCTGTTTGGCCAGTATTTTTATAGGCCTATAATGACCGGATATTTGACCATTGTCTAAAAACTAAAGCAACATGCTGGTGCTATGTTAATGTCTCTCATATTACTTCCAAAATGTTTTCAGAGTAGGCCAAATATTGGAAGACTTCACTATTTTGCGTCCTGAAAAAAACAAAATCTCTGAGTGATTGATTTGGGTACTTTGGTCAGATGAGTGAAAGATTTGCCAGCTTTTGAAACGGCGTTAACTAGTTGTTGTATGTAGTTATAGTAGTAATTTAATGCCAAGGTAAGAAAACACAAAGCATAGTGTTATAGAAGAAAATGAAAATATTTACAACTTTGCTAGATTTACAATAACTGTGGAAATGTGTCATCACAGTAAGTCCATTCATTTTAGATTTTTTCTTCTTGATAGTTTGTTTTCTGTAGTAACCAAGTATTTTTGCATAGGTTTAAAACTAACCAACAAGTATAGATAGTTTAAAATAAAATCTGTATTTCACATGTCCCAGTCATTTAAGCAAAATTAAAATGGTAATTTATGACCATAGAAATGGCTTACGTTTAGAATTGCATTCATGTTAAATTGGTACGTTTGTTATTATAACAGAATTTTGCAATCATAGATCTATAATGACACAATGCTGTTCTCCTACCCCTTGTGTGTTTACAGATGCTGGATACTGCAGCTCAATGCAAATCAACATGTTAATTAAAGTGCAAGGCTGTTCACACTAAGAGAACGAAAGTGGGAATCACACATAGCATTGTAAATCTAGATAGATAGATAGGTAGATAGATAGGAATGTTCAGTACAGCTTTATTAATTTTCCAAACATACACACAAGCAAAACTCTCTGCCACAACCTACAGTGCAGACATAGTATATATGAACCACATTTTGAACTATCCATAATAAGACCTTCATAATAATTTAATATTTGGTCACATCCAGTTCAGTAACATCCTCAGTTCTTTATTTGGGGGGAAAAATGTGGGAAGAAAATGAACACGTTACACATAGCTAGGATTGGGGCTCAAGTTTTGTTAGAGAATGAAAATTTCAAACAGTCATGTAGTGTTAGTTCAGAAGAAACCCTTATTTTTGTCTTTTTGTCCTTTTCTTGGTGAGGCACAATATCAATACAGGTTTTACAAAGAAGTAGCTACAATATTTAGTCAGAGTTAAGGCAGAAAAACACCAAAATGATTCAATCTTGACAACAGTTATTTCAGAAAAATAAGTGAGAAATGTGTATGAAGTTCTCTGTTCTCATTGGCTGAATTTCTCACAATGAGGTAATCTTACTTGCATGTATCTCAAAAAACATTTTGTGACTTGGAGGGAACATAAGACTTACAATGTAAAAAATACCACTGAACTCTTCATCTTATACATAAACCTTAAATTAAAAAAAGAACATCAATCATTTGTAAAATGCACAGATTATTTAATTATCAATTATAACTTACATTGAATGTTTTCTTTTTTCAGATTAAATCTAATCGTACACTCTAAAAAATGCTGGGTTGTTTCAAATATGGACTAACCCAACCGCTGGGTTACATTTTTACATTAAATTTTTAACCCAGAAGTTGGGTTAAAACAACCCAGCATTTTTTTTAGAGTGTACGTCAATTTTGAATAGATCGTTTTTTCTTTATATTTCAACAGGACAAATCCCTAAAACTATGCAACAGTTGCTTAGTTGGCCGTGGAGACATTTTTGGAGACCCTTTTTTTTGTGAGTTGCGTTCAGTTGTTTTTCTCTCAGTGGTCTATGGTACAGGACTTAGGCCCATACTGTCTGTGTGGATGTCTGGCAGTGTTCTCTCTGGTCGCAGACACACAGCAAGACGCTGAAATTGAATTGAAAACAACATGTGAGCAACTTTACCCATTTTATGAATTTCAAGGAATGGGAATCACCCTCAGTTTGTTTCTTCATTCGAACAGATTTGGAGAAATTTAGCGTTACATCACTTGGATCCTCTGTGTGAATGGGTGCCGTCGGAATGAGAGGCCAAACAGCTGATAAAAAAAATATGGACGACTCCAGTCCATCAATTAATGTCTAGAGAAATAAAAAGCTGCGTATTTGTCGCTTAGTCCATAATCCATAATAGGGTGAAAAGTCCATCCCCTGTTCTCTCAGTTGTGTGGATTACTTGTGGATTATTGTGATGTTTTTATCAGCTGTTTGGACTCTCATTCTGACGGCACCCATTCACTGCAGAGCATCCATCGGTGAGCGAATGATATTAAGCTAAATTTCTCCAATTCAACCATTCTGATGAAGAAACAAACTCATCTACGTCTTGGGTGGCCTGAGGGTGAGTAAATTAATTTGGGTGAGACTTCGAAATTTCTCCTGAGATCTACAAGAATGCTTTTCAAGTGGGAGTAGTTGTTCATTTAGTCAACCAATGGTGCAACATGCATGTCTCACCTGTTTAAGAGAGCCTGGGGTCCACACAAACTTGTACACCATGTAGATGGGGATCCATATGAAGGAGGAAGCTCCGATGATGAAACCGACCGTGATGCTCCAGTCTGGGAACTTGTAGTCGAATAGTGAGAGAGGCTGAGGGTTCAACAGTGAGCTGATAATGATGTACTGAAGAAATGAATGGGAAACATATTCAGTGAGTTAAATTAGCACATAAAACTGTATAAAACAGTGTTATTTCTTGACATGTCATGTAAAAAACAAAATGCAGTTGCTTTAAAAAGCTCCATTTATCAAACATGAAAGTTTTTCTTTAAAATGTCATATCTCATTTTAAGAGTGTTTTAACAATTAGGATACTCAGATTAGGGTCCTCTGTAGGTCACTGCAGTCTCTGTGAGTTCAGGTGGATTGATAAATCTGAAAACATCTTTAGAGAGAGACTCTGATCAGATTATTTTAGATTCAAAAGGTCCATATTATCCCGTAGACCCTACACACCCCTATGTGGTCGATGGAGAGCGGAAAATTGTAGAGTCTTGAAGGAACAGTGACAAATGTCTTCTCTCCAGCATTTCAAATAACCTCTGTCTCAGGAGATGAGACGGGCAGCCGTTTATCATGTTTGTTTGTTTTTAAACGAAAAAAAGAATAACAGGAAAATTATGGGAAAAAAATGATTGTGGAAATGTCAGCCGTGTGTGGCAGCTCCGGCCTGTTGAGATTAGCTGTAATGCATGCAGAAGTATCAGAGGAATATTAGGCTATAAGGGTGCATGCGGTTTGACATTTGCAGACTGGGAATTGTGACTGTGTGGACAGGTGAGGGGATGAGATTATGAAGGTAATAAAGGGTGGTGGTGGGTGCTTAAAGAGTTTTGAGAGCGTGAAAGATGACTTTAACATTTCACAAACTTTGCACATGCTGTCAGAACATCTTTGTTTAAACTTACAGCGAGAAAAGCTGGGCTGATGGCAACCCAACACACTCTCCAGAAGAGTCCTGGAGTATAGCCCAACATTGATTTGATATCATTGCTGAATCTGTTAATACCTGGAGAAAATGAAATAAATGGGGTTATTTTAAATACTGACATTTTTGTTTATGTAGACTTAGACATGATGTTTAGACAAAAATCATAGAAATGTTATAATAATACTATTACAATTTGAAATAAATGTTTGAAACTGTTTAAAAATGCTAAACTGTAATTCATTCCTGTGATGACAAAGATGATACTGCCGTTAGTGTCACCATAACATTTGTTATGATCAAAGTTCAAAAGGTTAATATAACTTAATCTTTTAATATTTTTGTGGAAAACATGATTCTGTTGAAACATTTTTTCACAATTCCTTCATACATAGAATGTTTCAAACAGCAGTGGACATATATATATAATAATATAAATATTATAATATATTTATTTGATATATATATATATATATATTATTTTTTTATAAAAACCTTACCATAAAACCAGGATACTGCTGTGGCCTCCAGAAAGACTATAGCTATAATTGAAGAACCAACTCCAAATTCTTCTAGTAACTTTACCACATAGGCACCACCCTTGCAAAAAAATAAAAAAACAACATCAGTAAAACATATTTTTTCTTCTTTATTAACCTATATTCTATTTCACATACTCTGGTATTATAATATTGTGTTGCCCAGCTGAAATATTCTTATTGTACTGGTAAATTCAACAAACTGAGATCCAGAAGTTCACTGAAACTCACATTAGTAAGGGTGCTGAGAGAGCCCATAAAGCAAACAACCACCAGTCCAAGAACCAACAGCTCTCTCCGGTGGGACAGGGTGTCTGGGTACTCATCCATTACAGCTGTGATTATGGCCTCTAGCCCACCAAACTGAGGCAAGAAAGCACACACAAAAAAACTATGAACACTCAATCATATATTTTGCAATTGCAGGGCAGAACTGTATTTTTTATAATTCAGCTGTTGAATATACAATCTCCATTCAGGCTTCTTGTATATCATTTCAGATTTTGACATACTATTGGCTTTTGAAAGCTAAGATAAAAGTCTCACATTGGCTTACATAAGCAGTGATATCATTGTAGTAAATTTCATATTGAATTGTAATTGGTGTTCTTTCTGAATTCTCATGCACAGCCACAGCCAAAAGAAACGAGATGAGTGCTGCTGACTGTCATGACAACAGAGTTTAAGACGACTCTGATGCCATTTAATTTAAACGGAGCCAAACTTAAAAACAGTAAAAAAATAAAAAAAAAAGTTTTACCTAAAAATATTTTGTTGTTTCCTTTCCTTCCTTTCATCTGGACATACAAATCTAGTTATGTATGTCATTCATGTTTCATATCTGTATGTCTATAAATTATATACCTTTGCTGGCTTCACATGCATATTTAGAAATATTTTTGTTTCTGCACATTTACAGGTGTAAGTGTATTCATACCGTGCTGTCCAGTCCAAGAGTAATCATCATCACAAAGAAGATGATGGCAAAGAAAGTCGACCCAACCATATTGGCAATGGCTTCTGGATATGTGATGAAGAGCAGACTGGGTCCTAGAGGAGGTGCAGAAAGTCGAAAGACAAATTTGAGGTAAAAGACAAAATGCTTTACTTACAGGGCTGAAAGTCTTGTATGTTATTTTTGGTTTGATGCAGCACATCTACAGTAAACCTCAAAATATTTGAACTATTATGAAAGGCAAAAAGGAAAGCTCACCTTTGTCCCTGGCTACATCCTCAACATTTACATTTCTCTGTTCAGCCATATATCCCAGGACAGTGAAAATAACAAATCCTGACACAAAACTTGTCAGGCAGTTCACCAGACTGGTTACAATAGCATCTCTGTACAAATCACAAAGAGAAAGTCATTTACAAACGAAATTGAAAAAATGTGATTGATGCTTGACTGTGATGACTGACAGAACTCGCCGTGGGCGGTCACCAGATCCCATGTCCACGTCTATGTGATATTCTCATCTTTAGCTATGACGTGATCTGTTTAGATGTGCCTCCTGACAGACAGTCTTACAGTATAGCACACAATTCAATTTCCTCTCACTCAAATATGCTGCCCATTCATCTCTTCAAACTGGCCATAATTTGCCGTTCTAATCTTGTTTTTATATCATTTACTCATGGGGCAGGGCATTTGTTTTGCTTCATCTTATGATTCATCAGAACCCAGTTCGTTTTGATGGCATTTCTCCATGGTTAGTGGACACAGAGCCGAATGTAAATAAATGGCTAAGCTATAGATAGAATCAGAATTAAGAGTGAGCGGGAATCACATTGGCCAGAATTGGCAGGTCTGTTTTGTTACAGCACAGTATCAGTTTGCTGTTCTGTTCATAGACTACCGTTCAAAACTTTGGGGTCAGGAAGATATGTATATATATTTTTTTTTAAGAAATTAATACTTTTATACAGCAAGGAAGAATTACATTGATCAAACATGGCAGTAAAAACATGTATAATGTTATAGAGTTCAATTTCACAAGTTCTTTTGAACTTTCTGTTCATCAAAGAACTTTGAAAAAAAAAGTGGCATGGTTTCCTCAAAACTATTAAGCAGCACATCTGTTAAATGAGCAGCAAATCAGCATATTAGAATGATTTCTGAAGTATCATGAGACACTGAAGACTGGAGTAATGATGCTGAAAAAAAAAATTACATTTGAAATATATTCAAGTAGAAAACATTTTAAATTGCAATAGTATTTCACAATATTACTGTTTTACTGTATTTTTGATCAAATAAATGCAGCTTCCATAAGCATAAGAGAAAAAAATCGTACTAACCCCAGAATTTTGAACAGAAGTATATGTACAAAGATTGAATTTATGATTCAGATATTAACTTAAACTAGATATTATTTTAATATCCTTTATTGAAAATATCAAACAGCCATGAAGAACTCAATGCAAATGCTGATAAACAGAGGATGCTGAAAATTCCCCTTGATCAATGTGATAGAAAATGAAGGTTTTGTCTGTACCTGTAGCAGTTATTGTTGAAGGGATTGTAGCTGGACAGGGCGAGAAGAACACCAAAACCAGGACCGAGAGAGAAGAAGATCTGCGCAGCTGCATCTACCCATACCTACAAAACATTCCATGCCATAAACAAAAGTGTGGCTAGAGACAAACACATGAAAACAGATCAAAACATTGGTTTGGATCATAAAGATCATTTTTAAAATTCACTTTATTTCATTTCAGGAACTGAAATGGGTAGGAAATGCTGAAGACAATGACATCACAGAATCCTGGGATTAAGCGGTGCTTGATCACATCTGAAGATTTGTGTGAAGAGAAATGTGTATGAGGGCCTTTCATGATGGAAAAAATTACGCATCTCATTAGCCCCTAGTGCTTTATTTTTGCTTCTCATCACGGCTCTCCGCAGCGCTGCATCACCTAGCAAACAGCACTGGGCTTATACAGCAAAGATCTCATGACTCGAAATATGAAATATATGCACTTTACGTATTGCCTCCATTGACCATTTATATACCTATTTATCATGTATTTCTTTATTATTAACTTATCTCAAAATTTATGAAGAAATATGCCCTTTATGAAGTCCATATTTCCCCCAGGTCAGTTCAGCTACTAGTGATTCATGAGTTTCCTGCCCAAATGCCTCAGGTCTTTTTATTACTGCATGAAATAAAAACACTTTCCCACATACAAGCATTTTGCCATCAAAACAGCACATAAATACATTTAAAAGGGTAACAAGATAAGTAAAGAATGTCAAGAAACAACACAATCTAATTTAACAATAAATCAATGCTAGACACAAATAGAAAAGTCTGAGCGGTGGTAAGAGAAAAGCACTCACGCTGGTCTCCTGCAGTTTCTCCCATTTGGGATTGAGGTAGAACACCACTCCTTTCCACGCTCCTGGCAAAGTTGCACCACGGATCATAAGGATCAACAGCACCACGTACGGCAGGGTGGCAGTCACCCATACTACCTGAGAGAGACACGGAGGATGAGAGGATGTAGAATGAGCAGTTTTTCCTCAAAACAGTAGCACGTTTCATTTCATATTTTAGGACTCTGTAACCTTTCCTGAAGTCTTGACTCCTTTCCAAAGGCTGAAGTAGACGATGGTGAAGATGAGGAAGAGGCAAAGCATGAGCTGCCAGCGAATGTATCCCACATCCCCAAGCCCAGATGATTCATGGACTGCCAGGACATTCCTCCTGTTTTCAGAAGGATTTACAAATACAGTCTGAAACGGACCTGAACTACTAAGCTTATGCATATAATACTTCAGTATACAACATTTCTGAAATATAAGAAAGAAATGTTGGTGCAATAAAAAATATGAAAGCAATCAGTTCTCCACAAATTGAAAAGTGTTTTTGCAGTTCTTTTGGCATTTTAACTGAGAGATTAAATGTATTCTTCATTATGATCCTGTAGCTTAAGTTCCTTGAATGCAGTTTGCTTTGCATATATATATATATATATTAGTGCCGTCAAACAATTAATCGCGATTAATTGCATCCAAAATAAAAGTTTTTGTTTACATAATATATGTTTACTGTGTATATTTGTTATGTATATACAAACACACAAATACAATATATATTTTGAAAATGTTCTTAGCAATGCATATTACTAATCAAAAATTAAGTTTTGATATATTTACGGTAGGAAATTTACTAAATATATTCATGGAACATAATCTTTGTCTTAATGTCCTAATGATTTTTGGCATAAAATAAAAATCAATAATTTTGACCCATACAATGTATTTTTGGCTATCGCTACAAATATACCCCAGCGACTTAAGACTGGTTTTGTGCTCCAGGGTCACATATATGCTGTTCCACCTTTCATCCACAATGCTGTTTTTCCCCGTTGTTATTTATTTTTGCTAAATCTAGCCCTCAATTTCTTTCCCTCTCTCTATCTTTGCCATATTTGCCCCCTTTCAGTGCAGCCACTTACATGCACTTACGTGTAAAACTCCTCGGCAGGTGAGCGTGAATAGTTAGTCCAGGTCACGTTGTCTTTTCCGAAGTAGTTAGTGCAGTTTTCTGTGTTCCATTCATTATCACAGCTGGTCCAGGGCAGAGTGCTACTGAAGGAGGAGTAGAAGTAGAACAGAGCCCAGGCGATGATGGTGTTATAGTAGAAGGACACATACAGTGCAATGATGCAGATGGCGAAACCAATACCTGACAGGGAAGAGAAAATGATGTCAGGGTTTTGTTAATGAAATCTCTCAGTATGACACAGTGTCGGTTTTCTCTGTCCGTCTAGCTCTGTGAATGTGTATTAGTTTCTTTTTCTTTCCTTTTTACAGACTTTGAACCTTTCCTAAAGTTAGAAGTATAGAAAAGTGAACATTTATAGACCTTTAATGCTCAAACATTACAATATTGTACAGTACATGAGACAGAATTGATCTCACCTTTAAACATAGGGCAAATATGTTTCCATATGGATATGGCACCTGTCCTGTGGAACTGTCCCAGAGCTAACTCCATGTAGAAAAGTGGCACCCCACCGAATATAGCCATCAGGACATATGGAATAAGAAATGCACCTGAAGAACACAATTATAACAGATCAAAGCGATTTTCTTCTCACAAAAATAAGTGAGATCAACCAGGGAGAATTTGAAGACTTACAATGAGCTTGTAAGTGCGTAAATCTTCTGTAACACTTCAGATTTGGGAAAACTATTCACTGTCAAGTAGTTGCTTATTAGCATGCATGTTACTAGCAGGTTGTTTTTTAATTAGTACTTATAAAGCACATATGAATGCCTTATTCTGCTTAAGCATATTATACATCCCTTTACCCTACCCAATACCTAACCATAACTACTACATCTACTACCTTAACTTACGATCAATAAACTGCAAATTAGGAGTTTACTGAGGGAAAACTCTAATCTAAAGTGTTACCAAATCTTCCATTAAGTAAATATATCTGTATGTATTTATGTATGTTAATAAATCATGTTACATTTCAATTCAGTAATTTCAATAGGTTACTTAAAAAAAAAATGAGATGAGATTTGTAGTCTGACACTTGTTGATCTCGGTAGCTGCCCAGTTTAAATCATGAATACATGATTGATGACTGCAGCTGGCCATGTCTGCTTCACAGGTGCGCTGGAGCAGAAGTTTAAATAAACATAATTATAATAAGCTTTGTTTCATATATTGAGAATGCAAACCAAAAAAAGAAAAAAGTTACATTATTAAATCAGGTCAGCCTAGAAAACACTGTATGAAAACCCAACTGGCAAGTTTGTTGCACCAATATGTTTGTTATTTAAAAACTACAAAATTAACAGTCCAAAACCTTCAGGTAGCTTATTAAAAAAAAACATTGGGTGTTTTTCCCTTTGGTAAATACTTATTTAAAATGATACCCTCTAAAATAAATGTCATGATGATGACGGATGGGAATTTCATTTTTTTATTTTCTACTATTGCGTATTATCTCTGCTCTATGCTAATGTGTTTTCAGACTCGATTCAACATTTTCTTATTTTTTGGATGAAGTGAATGAAGGGGTTAATTGGGTTGTGGCGTTTGCATCATTGATTTTGCTTTAAAACTTGACACCAATTAAACCTAACGTTTTAGTTTTGTTGGGCTGAAAGGTTTAGTCTTTCAGTTCTGTTGCTTATTCTGTAGTTAAGAGGTTTGTCAAACGTTAAAAACAACAACAACAACAACAAAATAATAATTTCAGCACCATGGACAGCTCATCCGCCCTTGCGCTTTTAAATGTATTATTTCGCTCATCAAATTTCACTTATTTTTCACATATCATGATCAAAGTAGCAAGACACAGTTTAAAACTGTTTTTGTGAATGGATATTTTTGCACAATGTAATGTAAAATTAAAAAAGCAAATAGGAGTAAATACAAAGAGTTCATAAAAGTTAATAACTCTTACCACCGCCGTTTTGATAACAGATATAGGGAAATCTCCAAACATTTCCGAGATCTACCGCAAAACCGATGACTGATAAAAGAAAATCCATTTTTTTGCCCCATTTATCGCGGGACTCTGTCTGAATGATGACGGGCACCGGGTTGCTGTTGTACCCGGCGTTGTTTGGAGGACCCGGGGCGCAGAGGTTCCCGTGAGCCAGCACCTGCTCTTGGTGGGGCATCTTCGCTGGTCCCGGTGACTTGGCAAACTGCAGAAGTACTTCTAAACTGCCTAAGAAATGCCTTTTGTGAGTTTCTCTCAAGTGTAAAAAGTAGTAAGAATATTTGTTTGGATTATGCTCGACGTGCGGTCAAAAGAGGCTGCGCGGGGGACCGCGGCATGCTGCTGTGGCTGATTTCCCTGCTGGTGGGAGGAAAAGCTTGAGGTTTAACCAAGAGTCCCCCACCTGAGCGCGAGAGCTGTGATCAAATGAGATGCGCGCTACAACATCACTCACCCCTGACATCCCATTCAAATGGACTTCTCCAGGAGCGCGCGCGAGTCCTACAGAAATATTGCTCGATTTGTCAACGTAATAATGACAATATTTTGAAGAAGAGGCAAGAAAGGTATGGTCAATGAGTACTTTTTTATTTTATTTTTTTTTTATCAAAATTGCTTAAGAAATACCATTTATGTTTTAAAATTTAATTTAGTACTAAATCTACTAATTTCCCCCTGCTGGACTCTCAAGTGTAAAAAGTAGTAAGAATATTTGTTTGGATTATGCTCGACGTGCGGTCAAAAGAGGCTGCGCGGGGGACCGCGGCATGCTGCTGTGGCTGATTTCCCTGCTGGTGGGAGGAAAAGCTTGAGGTTTAACCAAGAGTCCCCCACCTGAGCGCGAGAGCTGTGATCAAATGAGATGCGCGCTACAACATCACTCACCCCTGACATCCCATTCAAATGGACTTCTCCAGGAGCGCGCGCGAGTCCTACAGAAATATTGCTCGATTTGTCAACGTAATAATGACAATATTTTGAAGAAGAGGCAAGAAAGGTATGGTCAATGAGTACTTTTTTATTTTATTTTTTTTTAATCAAAATTGCTTAAGAAATACCATTTATGTTTTAAAATTTAATTTAGTACTAAATCTACTAATTTCCCCCTGCTGGAAAAAAAAAAAATTAAACATAGCTACATGGTTCAACATATGTATGGTTTCTGACTGGTCTAAACTGGTTACTAGCTGGTATAAAGCTGGTTCAGTCTGCTAGAACCAGCAACAAACCATGTACTGGTCATACTTAAGATGGTCAAGATGATCATGATAGATGGTCAGCCAGATTTTTACCATCTTATGACCACCTTATATCACCTACAAACCGGTTATCATGCACTGCCCAGGTTTTAAAAAAAAGTAGTCTTCCATAATGCACTTAAAGTGCTCTATTTTTGTGCACTAATTTTGTACTTAATAGGCTATACTAAAAAGGATAATTTAGTACTTCTTAAGATCAACTAGGTGTACTCAACTGTGCTATTTTGGGACACCATGAATATGAACTAAAATGTGCTTTTAACATACTATCTCTGTATTTAAAAAATGTATTTAGTCACCACTTGTAGTACACTTGAGTGTATAGTGTATGAAAGATGCACTCTAAAATATGCTGGGTTGTTTTAACCCAACTTTGGGTCAAATATGGACTAACCCAACTTTTGGGTTAAAAATGTAATTGAAAAATTTTACACAACAGTTGGGTTTGTCCAAATTTGACCCAAAGTTGGGTTAAAACAACCCAGCATTTTTTAGAGTGTGGGTTCAAGTGTGCTACAAGTGGTGACTAAATACATTTTTTAAATACAGAGAATGTATTTAAAAGCACATTTTAGTTCATATTCATGGTGTCCCAAAATAGCACAGTTGAGTACACCTAGTTGATCTTAAGTTCATCTTACACTCTAAAA